TGGCTTCGCCAGCTGCAACTGCTGCGTGAGACTGCAATTCCGGATTGTGTACACAAAGAAATCCCCATTCTGGTGACTTCCACTTTTCCGCTCTTATTGTTGCGTTTTTCCTTAGAGACTCAAACAGGGCATAATCAGGCTGTGAGACCTCGGCTTTGATGACATGACAATAGTAAGAACACAACGAAAAGCTGGACGATAATGGTAGGGCCGTTGAAAGGATGGAAAAGGGTCGTAACGTGTTGGCGGCGGAAAGACAGTTATCCGTCCACCCTCCTCGTTCTCGTAAACTGGTTTTCAGCACTCAAGTAGACCGTATTACTCCGCATGGTGAGACGAGACCGTTCCTGATGACTGGGGCTCAGGCATCCTTGTGCCTGTCCACAAGAAGGGAGACAAGACAAAATGTGAAAACTACCGCGGCATAAGCCTCATAGACATTGCTGCGAAGATTTTAGCTATTATTCTCCTCAGGCTTTTCCAGTCTGTGCGCGACGCCAGTACCCGACTAAACCAGGCCGGATTTCGTGCTGGGCGTGGATGTGTAGATCAGATATTCACACTGAGACGGATCCTTGAATTCCGCCATAGCTACCAAAAACCAACGGCCATCTGCTTTGTTAACTTTGCCGCTGAGTTCGACTGCATCCATCGTGACTCCCTGTGGCGGAAAATGGCATTCGATGATGTACCACCAAAACTAATCGCCATGATCAAGGCATACTACCGTTCCACCACTGCGCGGGTTTTAGGCCACAAAAACCTCTCAGAATCCTTCGCTATTGGTCAGGCGTTCGGCAAGGCAGTGTCCTGTCGCCCATCCTCTTCAACTACGCCATTGACTGGGTTCTCGGGAAGGCCCTAAAAGAAAGTGACGGTATTGAGCTTGCACCCAGACGCCGATTGACTGACCTCGACTATCGCTTTACTAGCAACAAGATTTGGCGATCTCCAGTCTACGGTGCCGCGGGTGAACGAGGTCGAGAAATCGGTCGGTTTGTCTATAAAGGCTAGGAAGACCAAAGTGTTTTCATGTTGCATCCCTGCCGATGAGAAGGCACCTCTCGAGATTATTGACTGTCAACTTGAAGAAGTAGACAGTTTATCATACTTGGGAGCGAGGTTGCTA